CAGTCTTAAGGCCATTAGTTGGAGTGCTAAGTGCTGCTTTGGCAGTCGAGTTTTTTCTTACATCCAGTGCTATATCTAGAGGTCCAGTCCCCTAGGTCATTTGATATCTCTAGTCTGAGTTCCGTTCAACAAGCCAGTTCTGTTAGATCACTAACAGTCCCCGTAGTGTCCAGTAGTTGTCTCTTTTTCTTACCTTAACCTTAGGCAAGCGAAAGACAGAGGGTTGAAATCAAAGTTAAGATATCTCCATCCGGTGGGAGTTGCTATCCATATAGTTCCATGGCAGTTCTACTTGCAGCCATTGATAGTTCTCTTGCATCCGCTTTCAATCCAGCAGAGTAAGGGGCAAAAGGATTTGACGCAAGTTGGAGGATCGACAGAAAGCTAGGGTTTTTCTTCTCCCTTATTATCCTTTTCTAAGGAACTAAGGAGTTAACGATATCTCGCTTAAGGAGATATCTAGCCAAGCGATTCACCTGATCCAGACACGCCAATAGGCGGGTTTGAAGATAGTAAGTAAGAGTAGTGGCATTCTCACCAAAAGGATAAGTAAGTTCGCAATCCAATGATAAAGTGAAAAAAGGTGCTTTTTTCTGCGCATATTCCCTGGTGAGGATATGCATATAATATTTTAGGTATTAGAGTGCATCAAGATTATAGGTTACAGTTTGTAATCTATAGGATTGATTCTGGCTTCTGTAGGACTACTAACTAGATTATGCTTTCTCTCCGGGCCTTTGCTAAAAACATTGGAAGGAAATCTGTGCGAAGGCTTTCTGTGGGTAAGGCAAAGGTAGATGTAATATTGCGATATGTGTCTTACCTTGGTAATTCCTTTATTTACCTAGTGGGTCTAACTTTATGTCTAAGGAAGAGGATAATCGCCCTAAAGAGCCTGCCTAGTCCTTCTCGAATCCTGAGAGTTCTGTTCCATTTCGTAAGCGAGTGTTCAATGTGAAGTACTTCCATTCGCCCCTCCTCCAATTGTGGACTCCTTGTCAGAAGAGTTATCAAGCGCAAGGGAAAAGACTAGCAAGCCAATTACAGTCTTAAGGGTTGGTGTTCGAATTCTCTTCTCATTGGATCCAGTTGGAATTGTAGTTCTCTTTGCTGTTTTGCCAAGCGAGGGAGTTCTTTGATAACTCTACCAAGAATTAGGGTGCAGGCAAGTTTACTCGCTTCTCCTCGAATTGCATAAGAAAGATGGTTCTGGAGATAAATCCTACCCGCAAGCATTTGCTTATAGAATGGTGGAGGGAGGAAGAGGTAGCAATACATTCCGCCTGATGCTTGATCACTGCATTCGTGATATATCAAATGAGCTCTCCGATCTATGATGAAGAGTTCCTGTAGATAGGATCATATTTCTTTCTAGTCCTAAGCATTTTAATTGGACCTTTCTCCTTGACTTAAGTTTTGGAATATTTTCATCCGGGATTGGAACGACCTATGTTGTAACGGAGGAGAGAAGGTGAACCATCTTCCTTTGGTCGCCTCTCCCGTCTGGTCGAGTAGCTTTCGCTCCTTCCTACTTACTTTATTATAATATAAGCGGGTGGCCTATTGGGAGCTTTTTAGTCATAGTGGGAGCTTTCAGAAATAACTTTGCAGGTCAAGATCATAGGAAGAGGGAAGAACAAGGGAGAAGATCTTTTTGAAAAGAAGACGATTCCAAAAGAAACTCAAAACGGAGAATAGGATGCCTTAAAGGTAAATAAGAAAGATCATAAATAAAAAAGAAAGAAAATAGCTGCCTAGCCCGCAGGAAACAGAAGGTTAGGTTAGGAAGGGAGATTACCCTGCATGAGTTCTCAATCGCAAGGTCCTACCCGAGTTACAGAAAGTTGCTGTCGGCAAACAAGTCTTACCAAGGATAGCCACGGCTTTCATTGAAAAAGGATAGGCCACTCGCTGAGCGCCCTAATTAATGAGGATAGGTTTCGATGTGGGGTATTTGCTATATGGTATGGTACAAAGTCAGTTTCTAATTATTCGTGTGGGGAATGAACGCAAACCGCTTCAAGGCAACGGGCTATCTCCCAACTTTCACTTTAGGAATGCCTTTAAGGCTAGCTCTCTCCTTTGGTACTCAATTGGGTATATTCCGTAGTGAGATAAGGAATTCAATTGTGTTCACCGGAGGAATTCGATCTCTTCAATCTCGGGATACCACCTAAATAACTATAACTGCGGACAGAGAGTCAAATAGGTCGGGAAGAAAGAGTCTGAGGTTGGGTTGGACGACATACATCTTGGTTGGAGACTATCGGGAGTTGGAACATGATGAACTATCACCAGTCAAGACGAGGAAGATTACGAGGACGATGGGAACCATGGTATTATTCTTTCTATAATTACCTCAAGACGGGTTTATACCGGAGTACGCCACTCGTGGTCAGAGGAGAGCCCGGAGGGAACTTTCCCGACGATTTGTGATCTTGGGAGATGTCCTTTACAAAAGGTCACTCGCCCTTCCGAAATAAGGAGCACACATTGTTGAACAAGCTCATTCAAGTGGGTGCGGAGGACACGTCAACAGCCAAATGCTTGCCAAGAAAATCATGAGGCAAGGCCCCCTCTATCTAAAGGGGTCCATACCTCCTTTAGATAGAGCCCCCCTGCTCCTAATGTAGAGCTAGAACTACTGCTACCGTGGAATCCGCGGTCACACATAAGTATCTCGCCTTCCAAAAAAAGCGGCTGCTAATTAGCACTAATGCTAATGGAGACCATCGATCAAGAAGGACTTCGGAGACTGCAATCGAATTGATCAAAAAAGAGAAATAGGGCCAACTCTTCTAGTTGCGCCTCTAACCTTACTACGCTACCCTGATAAAAGGTCGAATTCAGCAGGACTGCAGGCACGAAATGCCGCTCAAATCCGTTAAAGGAAGCCTAATCAAAGCGGGCAAACAAGAAGATCTGACTGAGTTGATGATGGACCGGATCTCGAAAGGCGGGAGGCTTTCATAAAGACGTATGAGAAACGGAGGGTCGAGAGAGGCTTATTGCACGATCCACCCCAACCGCTAATAAATGTTGCATAAGATAAGAGAGTGGGAGGCCGGCCCCCGCCCATCTGGAGGTGCACACCCATTTATGAACATATACAAAGGGCTAAAGAGAGAAGTCCATGGAGAACTACCAAATCCAATGACTTTGATTTGTTCGTACCATTCTGTCATCGATCACTGCTGGGTCGGTTGGTGAGTCACCCAAAAAAAGCATCGAGAAAGGTCAATCATATATGTTTTATGAAATGATCAGCAGTTTCATTTATGCTATGCCCTGCATCGTTTTCGTCTGTGTTTATTGAGCTTTCAGCGCCATGCGCTTTGCTTCGCTTTATAAAAGAGAGAGAGCCTTGTCTTGAGAGTGAAAAGAAAGGGCAAGCGATAGAAAGGATAGTCCCTCGCGCGTTCGCGAGAACTACTAGAAAATGGTGAGATCATTAGATCATTAGTGAAAGAAGGACCAACGACGATCATATCCTAAAGGAGAAGAAGGAGTAGGAGTAGTCAGTTTTCTTTGAAGATCGAGGAATCAATCTCCCAATTATGCCATTCGGAAGAAGTCTTCTACAGAGGGAAAGCTTGTTACAAGTAAGTGGAGAGGAAAGATCTCCAGAGATTCTTATCTCATTCCATTCCAGTGGCTCAACCAGTAACCAATGGCGAAAACTAAAAAATCCATGGTTTCCCGGTAGAACCCTATTTCACCCAAGTTGTTTCAGAACCGGAAAAAAGAAGCGGTTTTCCGCACAGCTTACGCATAGTGCAGGTCCCACTTGTATATCGTATTTGGCCGAAGAAGCATCGGACAGGTTGGAGTTATTACCTTCTTGGGATTCCATGGACCAAGATCTGCTTTTATTATATGGGCAATACCGATCTACTTTAGTAGATCATATGGATGTAGAAAAAGCTTCTCATTTTGATGAATTGGAAGCATCTCTTTTCCATTTCTATTTACCCAGTTCATATCTTTGTTTCGTGTGTTCCCCGGAGGAATTCGATCTCTTCAATCTCGGGATACCACCTAAATAACTATAACTGCGGCCAGAGAGTTAAATAGGTCAGGAAGAAAGAGTCCGAGGTTGGGTTGGACGGCATACATCTTGGTTGGTCGCACCACCACTGGGGATTGGACATATATAGAATCTTTCTTCTAAAAAAGTCTTATTTCTCATTTCGAGGAAAAGGTGCGGAAGGAAAAGGAAACAACGGAGGGATCCGAATCGGACCTAAATGGGAATGACATGAAAAGTCTTTTTCAAAACCTAGCATTAAGGGCGTTACGACGATATATGAGAGGAATGGAGAAAAACTCGTGATTGGTGTAGAGGGGAAGGTCTGTTTATAATATAGTTCAAGAAAGAGTCGTCTCATTTCCTTACTTCTTCATTCTTTCTAATTCATTCACTTCAAGACTGGTTCTGAACGCCGCATAACATCATCTTCAACCAACCTCCATCGTACCGGTGCGACCACTAAAGAATTGCTTATACACTAAACAACTGCTTATATACGCTTACTAAAAGATTGACTTTTATTCATATTCAATTCATTAGGCCAGCATGAAACTAAGAAAGATAGATGTGCCTAAGGCGTAAGCGAACTGTGCACGCTAAGAGAAGAGGAGAGATGTTCGCAATGACTACCACAAGAAAGTCGCCCCCTCTCTCTAAAAGGGTTCGTCACTTCGTTCGTACCTTCTTGGCTTAGGCTTGCAACTTCACTTACTTTATGGCCTTGTTGCCTTTTTATCACAGAAGGATTACCATATATAACACAAAATTGATCCGCCGATTCTTTCGAATCTACCCTCCCGGTCTGTCATTATACCTCGAGAAGTCTAAATAATTACAATCCCCATCCCGCCTAAAATTTGAAGAATTCGTTGATAGTTAGAATAGATTCGTAGACCAGGTCGACTGATCCGTTTTCAATTTTGAAAAGTTCTGTTAGGTTCTTAGTAGCAATCGGCGACCTTTTTTTCTTTTACTTCACAGAGCTTTTCGTCTCCTTGATAGCTGGAAGTTCTCCAAAAGTATGAAAAGCTGGAGGACTTTGTACCATCCATTCCGGTGTGGTTGGATTCTGTTCAACAGCCCAAGGACTTGGAGCGCATCTTTTGTTGTTTCCAGTGCTTGAAGTGATTGTTACGACCACGAAGAAACGACAAATCCCAACTACAGATATATAAGAGCCAGAACTGCTAAGGGCATTCCATCCAGCGTAAGCATCTGGATAATCTGGAATGCGACGTGGCATACCCTAAAGCCCTAAGAAATGCATGGGAAAGAAGGTCGGATTAACCCCGAAAAAAGTGATCCAAAAATGGATTTGACCTAAAGTTTCAGGATATGTTCGACCAAAGATTTTACCTACCCAATAGTGAAATCCTGCAAATAAAGCAAAAACGGCTCCCATAGAAAGTACATAATGGAAATGTGCAACCACATAATAAGTATCATGTAGAGCAATGCCTAGCCTAGAATTTTCCGGAACGATTCCAGTGAGTCCCCCTATGGTGAACAAAAATATGGACCCTACAGCAAATAACATGGGTGTTTTGTATTGTATCGAACCCCCCCACATGGTAGCGATCCAACTAAAGATTTTGATTCCAGTGGGGACATCTATGATCATGGTAGCTGCGGTGAAGTAGGCACGGGTATCAACGTCTAAGCCCACAGTAAACATATGATGAACCCAAACAAGAGATCCAGGAACACCTATACTGATCATGGCATAAACCATGCCTAGATACCCGAAGACCGGTTTTCCCGAAAAAGTAGAAACGATATGACTTATGATACCGGACCGCTGATGTTTTCTAACAGAGAGATTTGAATGACTATATTTACTACCAGTTAATGCGGAAAAGAGATTCTTAACTGAACTCATCATTTCAAGTTTTCAATTTTTTTCTTTTTATAGGTTGTTATTCGGAAGACTCAATGTTCTTCCCCAGAAATGAAGTCTCTCTGGTTGTTGTTGGAAACAACCTATACCTTACTTCATAGTCATAGGGAACCTGGCAGGTTGGACGTGGTATCCTGCAGGCAGGATGTGTTTTATCCATCCTTAGGTGAATGCTTCTCCTGGTTCAACCCGTAGCCTCAGCATGTGGTTTGGGATTTACCACCTCCCTGGGGTTCAAAGAGTAACTCATAATTAAGAGAGTGAGGGCTAAAGTTGGATACTTGGCGGGAGAACCAGAGGCATTCCTTTTCCTTCTCTGTCCACAGATACCGGGATCTATCCAAGGAATTGAACAAGTTTAAAAAACATGCAAGGTTTAGGATACCCTTATGGTTGAAACTCAGATCTAAAAGCAAAGGAAGTGCCTAATTGGATAGGAAATTTGTCTCAAAAGCAATACCCGCATTAATAACCGGTCATTCTCTAGGTTGATTCTTCTAAGGTATCCGGAACTGATTCTAAGGAATTATCAACATGAGCTACGAAAACACAAAAGCAAGAACGATCGAAACGAGCTCGAATACGGGACTCGTTAGGGAACAGATGATTTTCCTGTCTTTCGAGGGGTTGTTGCTAACCCAAACAATAAAATATGTACATCGGGATGGAAATCAATAGGCGCAGGCAGCGGATATCACCGCATTTCTCACATGTCATTATCGACAATCGGAGGTTGACTTTCTGTAACTCGACCGAAGAACAGGTAGGACTAGCCTCAGCCGCTCTTCGAGGGGTTGCTTAGCCGGGATGGAAGGCAGCCGGAAAGCGAGTTTTCTGTTACTAAGACAGCATCAAAGAACCGACAGTCATTCATTGGATACGAAATCTGGAATGGAAAGTACAGCAGTCGCTACTATAATCTCAAACAAGAACCGAGATGAACTCGAAGACAGAACCCTCCAGTCTAGGCGGATTTCTTCCCTTTTCTAGCTGTTCCCCTGATTCTCGATACCCGCTCCTTGGCACTAGTGAATTGCTATCAGAAGTCGCTATAATCAATGTATCGAATTCCTAATTCGAAGAATCAGTCGGTCTAATGACTTCTTATTAATGCTATCCGCCCAAAAGTTGGAAACTCAATAGCTAGCTTCCCTGTTTCCTTTCCTTCCCTTGAAGCAATTCCTCGAACAACAGAACAAGAAAGAGGTCTCTTCCTGGCTCTTCTACCTAGTCCTAGATTTGAGTTACTAGCATCGTTAACCGGCCGAGATACGATCCAAGGTCGGAGCAGCTAATCCACACATTTTAAGAGCAGGAGACTCATACTAGCTCTTTGCTTTTGTCCCGCTTGGTTCAATTAATTGGATAACTCAAAAAGAAGCGGGCTTGATTGCTGTGATTCCTTTGCTGTTCAGCGTGATCTTGATCCAATCTTCTCAATTCCATAGCAAAAGTCATTTCGAAATGCCAGGGCAAAAGACGTATGGACTCACTAGCTATATCGCCTTCGTCGAAGTCATTTCATAAAGAAACCAAGAATTCTGCCATTTGATGAGCTGCTTACCTCCCTTGATTTCCTATTCGTGACTCGAAACAATTCGTTATTGGCAGGCTAAGCTACTGATACTAAGAAACCAGCAACACCTTACTATCATCGACAACAGCACGTACAGCATCAACGCCTCCACCTAACACCTCCGTAAGGCCTACCATTACCGTTACTTATCTCTCTTTCTAACTGACTGATAGAACCGTCGAGTTGGCTGATGAGCGAGACATCCCTCCTAGCGCCTGCACGGAGACATCCCTGCTAATTTAGTAAGGGTTGAAATACGAGAAAGGGGCTATCAGAAAGCTCGAAAAATCGCATGATTTTAAGCTCTTCCTTTTTTACTTTCGCGGGGGACGCTTTTTCTTTTTTTTTAAAAAAAGAAAACTCCAAGATAGCTTGGATTACCAGCTTCTATCTGAAGGAAGAACTCCTCAATATCTGGGCATCCACTTTTCCGTTTTAGTACCATACAAAAGGAAAGGGAGGACGTGAAGCTACTACGGGAGAAAGGCAAGTAGAAGAGGGCTTATGCTCGATTGTAGAAAGTAGAACTCCCAGCCAGTAAAGTGAGACTTCTTGTTATCAACTGGATTTTGTAGCTGCTACCTTCTTTTTCAGTATATGGTGGTGACTCCACTTTAGTAGTAGGTCTACCTTCGGATCTGTTATTGTCCATGCCCTAGCCGTTGCTTCCGCTGGATCAATGGGATCCCAATCTCGATTTCCTAGGTATACGTGCCCTGTTCAGTAACTGAAGCTACTTGTTCTCTTTCACTACACCAAACCCACGAACTTTCACCCAAATGCATACAGTTGATTCCACAGGTACCATGGGCATGCCTGTTGGGGCTTTGAAAAACTTATTGTCGTACCTTATTATTAGAAAAAAAAGGGGAGCACTTTGATGGTTTTTTGTCGACAATCGGAACATCAGAATATTCAGTTACCAGGCAGGGTCAAACCAACAGCACAGAGGCTCTGCAGCAACAGGAGCCACAAAGACGATTATAGAAAGATACCAGGATTCTACTCAAACAAGAGCAGCGGTACTCTCCGAAGTCCTTCAAATAACTACGCTAATTGTAGTAACCTGAACAGGTAAAAACCACAGATGCTGTGGAAAACCTTTCCTTCCTTGCCAAGGGCAACTGCTCGACCAAGCAACCAATTACCACCCTAAAACGTAGCCGGGGAAAAATGACTGCTCAGATCTCAATCCTAGACTTTTTATCTTAATAAATTACCTTAGGTAAGCTAAAAGTTAAGGGAAAGGCTCCGGGATTACAAGCCATGATCTAAAAAATGATTGCCCCCAACCCTTTTACAGTTCCAGAAGCAGAGGGAGCTGCTTCAGTAGTTCCATCTCTCTAGCCCGCAGGAGTCCCGGGAAGATAGAGGCAAGACAAACCGCATAAGTAAATATATAACCTACAGAAAAGTGGGCTAATCCAACCAATCTTGCTTGTACAATGGAAAGTGCCACCGGTTTATCTCTCCAACGAATCAAATTGGCCAAAGGTGTGCGTTCATGAGCCCATGCTAAAGTTTCAATCAATTCCTGCCAATATCCACGCCAGGAAATTAAAAACATAAATCCAGTAGCCCAAACCAGATGTCCAAATAAAAACATCCATGCCCAGACTGATAAACTATTTCGGTTATAGTTTTCCTTGCGATGGCCCAGGACGAGGCGGTACTTGTGATATTTCGGCTTGGGACGCATTTTCTTTGGCAGTTTTTTGGATGTTAAATACCATTGGATGGGTTACTTTTTATTGGCATTGGAAGCACATTACATTATGGCAGGGTAATGTTTCGCAGTTTAATGAATCTTCCACTTATTTGATGGGCTGGTTAAGAGATTATTTATGGTTAAACTCTTCACAACTTATTAATGGATATAACCCTTTTGGTATGAATAGTTTATCAGTCTGATCATGGATGTTTTTATTTGGACATCTGGTTTGGGCTACTGGATTTATGTTTTTAATTTCCTGGCATGGATATTGGCAAGAATTGATTGAAACTTTAGCATGGGCTCATGAACGCACACCTTTGGCCAATTTGATTCGTTGGAGAGATAAACCGGTGGCACTTTCCATTGTACAAGCAAGATTAGTTGGATTAGCCCACTTTTCTGTAGGTTATATATTTACTTATGCGGTTTGTCTTGCCTCTATCTTCCCGGGACTCCTGCGGGCTAGAGAGATGGAACTACTGAAGCAGCTCCCTCTACTTCTGGAACTGTAAAAGGGTTGAGGGCAATCACTTTTTAGATCATGGCTTGTAATCCCAGAGCCTTTCCCTTAACTTTTAGTTTACCTAAGGTAATTTATTAAGATAAAAAGTCTAGGATTGAGATCTGAGCAGTCATTTTTCCCCGGCTACGTTTTAGGGTGGTAATTGGTTGCTTGGTCGAGCAGCTGCCCTTGGCAAGGAAGGAAAGGTTTTCCACAGCATCTGTGGTTTTTACCTGTTCAGGTTACTACAATTAGCGTAGTTATTTGAAGGACTTCGGAGAGTACCGCTGCTCTTGTTTGAGTAGAATCCTGGTATCTTTCTATAATCGTCTTTGTGGCTCCTGTTGCTGCAGAGCCTCTGTGCTGTTGGTTTGACCCTGCCGGGTAACTGAATATTCTCATGTTCCGATTTTCGACAAAAAACCATCAAAGTGCTCCCCTTTTTTTCTAATAATAAGGTACGACAATAAGTTTTTCAAAGCCCCAACAGGCATGCCCATGGTACCTGTGGAATCAACTGTATGCATTTGGGTGAAAGTTCGTGGGTTTGGTGTAGTGAAAGAGAACAAGTAGCTTCAGTTACTGAACAGGGCAAGTATACCTAGGAAATCGAGATTGGGATCCCATTGATCCAGCGGAAGCAACGGCTAGGGCATGGACAATAACAGATCCGGAGGTAGACCTTCTACTAAAGTGGAGTCACCACCATATACTGAAAAAGAAGGTAGCAGCTACAGAATCCAGTTGATAACAAGAAGTCTCACTTTACTGGCTGGGAGTTCTACTTTCTACAATCGAGCATAAGCCCTCTTCTACTTGCCTTTCTCCCGTAGTAGCTTCACATCCTCCCTTTCCTTTTGTATGGTACTAAAACGGAAAAGTGGATGCCCAGATATTGAGGAGTTCTTCCTTCAGATAGAAGCTGGTAATCCAAGCTATCTTGGAGTTTTCTTTTTTAAAAAAAAAAAAGAAAAAGCGTCCCCCGCGAAAGTCAAAAAGGAAGAGCCTAAAATCATGCCCTTTTTCGAGCTTTCTGATAGCCCCTTTCTCGTATTTCAACCCTTACTAAATTAGCAGGGATGTCTCGATGCAGGCGCTAGGAGGGATGTCTCACTCATCAGCCAGCTCGACGGTTCTATCAGTCAGTCAGAAAGAGAGATAAGTAACGGTAATGGTAGGCCTTACGGAGGTGTTAGGTGGAGGCGTTGATGCTGTACGTGCTGTTGTCGATGATAGTAAGGTGTTGCTGCTTTCTTAGAATCAGTAGCTCAGCCTGCCAATAACGAATTGTTTCGAGTCACGAATAGGAAATCAAGGGAGGTAAGCAGCTCATCAAATAGCAGAATTCTTGGTTTCTTTATGAAATGACTTCAACGAAGGTGATATAGCTAGTGAGTCCATACTTCTTTTGCCCTGGCATTTCGAAACGGCTTTTGCTATGGAATTGAGAAGATCGGCTAAAGATCACGCTGAACAGCAAAGGAATCACAGCAATCAAGCCCGCTTCTTTTTGAGTTATCCAATTAATTGAACCCAGCGGGACAAAAGTAAAGAGCTAGTATGAGTCTCCTGCTCTTAAAAGGTGTGGATTAGCTGCTCTGACCTTGAATCGTATCTCGGCCGGTTAACGATGCTAGTAACTCAAATCTAGGACTAGGAAGCCCCAGTGGGAGTAGTGACTAGCGTTATAAGTCGTTGGGCGGCCGGAAGGTTGCCACGAGTAAGTCAGTTTGGGGGACCGAAGGCAGTTCTCCGTGGACCGGACACGTAGCTTACCGAATCAGTTGCGACACGGATGGGAATGCATGCTACGAAAGAGAGGGTCGAGTCTGATACATCAACCTTCTACTCAATATCCTTGTACGAGTCCACAATCACTACACGAGATGAACCTTGGTTTGGTGAATTGAAGTTGGCCTTAGGTGTAATAGGACTCCCAGTTACTGTATGCGATCGTCTACTGAGATGCTCCCCGCCGGTTGTTGGAACGACGCGAGCCGGGTCGGGTCTCGATTCAGAAAGATGAAGGGCCGAAAAGTCTAAATAGGGAGTTATAAATTCCCCATCTCATTGGGGGCGGAAAACGAATCGACATCTCGATGTGATACAGCCTTTTCTATTTTAGTTGGGAAAGAACGGCGAAGTCCATCCGAACCGTCCAATGAAGAATAAGAGGAGAGCAAAGCGCCAATGGCGCGCGAAGCACATGCGGAACGGGCACGGAGAAAAGGAAGTTTGGAGGAGAAGCAGCCGAGCTCATTCCCTTCACTTCCTGGGCCCAAAGCAGTGCAGTCTTTCCTGGCCAAATCAAGGATTTGGGGCTTCTTGCTACGCTACTTCACTACAAAAATCCTTTTTTTTAGTAATATATATATATATAGAAAGATAGATCCATCCATCTATCCTATCCGATTTCTATTTTGATATCGAAAAAAGAATCTATTTCATTCAACGTTTGATTCAAAGAACTGTGCTTAGCCCTCCCCCGCTCATGAAAGTGCTCTGCTGCAATGGATGGCAGAGGGTCCGTAGTACTCGAAGCACTGGAGTGATCCAGTAGCCGGGAAGGGGCCTAGAAGTACCTACTACTACACTACACTACACTTGGCTCTACACATTTATAGAGCTAACCCCTGTCCAGTGCCTGACAGAGCTAAGGGGGCTTCAATCCTTACTCTTTATCCTCATCTTCGCCCAGGCTAACGGGGCCTTACTTATTCAGGGGGGAGAGTGGAGCCTCGAGAAGCACTGTTGAGAGGAAGATCTTTGGCCCCTCTTCATTCTTTATAGGGTTCCAAACCTTTCTTCAATATAGGTGACAAGGAGCGAGGCCGCGATGGAAGAGATCAAACACGGGAATAAGAAGTAATTACATTACCTTTTTTTTCATTTTTATAGAGGGGGATGGAGAAAGTGGACAAAACAGACTCGCATTTCTCATCGAACAAATACAGGAAAAGAATCATATTGAAAACGCTCCTAACCCAAGCCCTTCCTTCGTAGAGCCATGTATTGTAAGTGATCCAAACCTGCCCGGAGCGAGCCCCCATAGAGGCAAGTGAAGTTGGTGAGCCGTATGATGGGCAACTATCTCCTGCGGTTCGGAGAGGACTCAACTGTTAGTTAGTACCCCCTTGGTTTCGGGGTGGACCCTTTCACTCTATTTTATTATATACGCTTAGTGAAAAGAATGTTTTTTGATACACCTAGGACATGGATTCTATATGAACCAATGGATCGTGACAAGTCGTTACTACTAGCAATGACTTCCTCTTTCATTACTTCATTCTTTCCATATCCCTCTCCTTTGTTCCCAGTTGCTCATCAAATGGCACTCAGTTCATATCTTTAATTTAAGTTCGATCATTGACAAGGTTCAAAGAAAGGGTGGGCTATTGATAAAGAATCGATTCCAAACCACAATGCTAGCAGATGGCGGGCCTCCGCTTTTATTTTCATTCATTTTTCCTATTAAAAAAATAAAATAAAATAAAGACTCCCGGCGATCTTTGACCGGGCGGGGTAGGCAGAAGTTGATCCGGTAGATCGACTAGCAGTTTCATCTACTGCTCGTGATGATGATTTTGATTAGCGAGATGTTCACTTTTACTTGGATTATGCAATAGATTTTGCTTATTCTCCTCCCACGACGTGCCTAGCTATTACGTTCCGACTCATGCATCTGCCGGTAAAGTAAAGCACGTCCAAAGTGATGCGCGCCCCCATAGAAAGAAGCACGCCCGCCCGAAGTAGCATCCTTAGACACGTCCTTATCGCGGGAGGAGAAGAGATGAAAGATTCATAGTTTCGAAGACCTTTCCATTGATAAGGCATTAAGGTCTTCTTTCTTGAGGTTTTATCCTTTTCATGTATAGATAGATCGTTTATTCCAAAACCCAATAAACCTGGGAAGCTACGCCGTCTTACTCAACCACATAAAAACGACAATGATGGATGCAATTTATAAAGTCTTGAATAAGGTCTTTGCTGGCATATTCTTAGAGTGTTCTCACAGGTTCAGGAAAGGAAGAGGGACTCAGACATTCTTTGCGCAGAGTTCTATTACTATTAATGGGTGGCTCCGCGATTTCTTATGGGCACAGGCATCCCAGGTAATTCAGTCTTATGGTTCTTCATTATCCGCAGACATACTATCTTGAACAAAACTAGCATTAAGAATACCTTTCAAATAAGACCAAACCTGAGAGGCAGTTTCACCTTGACAAAACAAATGAAGTAAAGAATCCTGTTGACTTCTAATGCAGAAATTCAATTTATAAGGCATTTGAAGCCCATGTATCTGAGCCTGTCATCCATAGGAAGAGCATTCCTGAGGAATCTCCAGAAGAAGAGAATAAACCCATCTTAGGAGGAAGCCACTGGTTCCATAATAGAGACCACCAAGGACTTTGCTGGCCATGAATTCTGGAAAAATGCCAATAGGAAGCAGAGGAGAAAAGACCTGAAGGGGAATGATGCCAAA